CTCCCTCTCTCCTCTCTCTCTCTCTCTCTCTCTCTCTCTCTCTCTCTCTCTCTCTCTCTCATTTGCAGTTCCTGTGCATCCTCCTTCAGAATTGTCTTGAATATAGCCCCTCCACTCTATCTGTCATTCTTACCTAGTCCAAAACCCCCTCACATCTTGCCTGAATTTTCACAACCACCTGACGAATCTCACATTACTCTCTAATGCCATCTCCTCTTCTTTGCCATGACCAGGACCACCTTTCTAACACAAAAACCACATCACTCTCCTGCTTCACAGCCTCCACAAACTCCCAGACGCCTACAAGATAAAATCCAAATTCCTTTCTCAGCCCTCAGTTTCTAGTCACAATTTCCATCCCTAGTCTTATTATCTCCTTACCTCCTCCATGCACTCTATGTTGCAAACACTATAGAATTCTTGCTAGAAAAGACAGACTCAATTTCAAAACACTATTTGCTAGCCCTGTAAAAATGGCTCTAGAGCAATGGTTCTCAATCTTCTGGCCCTTTAAATACAGTTCCTCATGTTGTGACCCAACCATAAAATTATTTTCGTTGCTACTTCATAACTGTAATGTTGTTACTGTTATGAATCGTAATGTAAATATCTGATATGCAGGATGGTCTTAGGTGACCCCTGTGAAAGGGTCGTTCAACCACCAAAGGGGTCACGACCCACAGGTTGAGAACCGCTGCTCTAGAGTCACTCACCCTGAACATATTTTTCCACAGTAAAAGGGAAATTGATTCTAAAAGGTAAGGGTTGTGCCCCACTGGTGCAGCTCAGTGATTGAGCTTCGAGCGATGAACCAGGAGGTCATGGTTCGATTCCCAGTCAAGGCACATGCCCAGGTTGCAGGCTTGATCCCCAGTGTGGGGCGTGCAGGAGGCAGCCAATCAATGATTCTCTCTCATCATTGATGTCTCTATCTCTCACTCCCTCTCCCTTCCTCTCTGAAATAAAAAATATCTTTTTTAAAATAAAAGGTAAGGGTTGTAAAAATATAAAATATAATGTTAGAAATTATTGAGCCAGTTTTTCTATCTGTGTCTTTGTAAAATCATTCCCTCTACCTGAGGTTCATCTTTCTCTTCTTCATGTAACAGACCCAGGTCAACCCAGGTCAATGGGCATCTTCTCCACGGTTGTTTTTCTGTCTCCCCCAGATTGAGTTAGACACTTCCTTCTTTGGGCTCCCACAATAACTCAGGACATTCATTACATAATGACATGGTATGGTATTATAGTAAGATCCTAAAAATAAAGTCTTTTTAAAAATCTGTACCTGAACCTGGCTTATGATAGTTTCTCAAAAAATGTCTGTTGAATGAATATATGAAGGCACTATGCTGCGCTCTGCAGTCTAGTTCTTGAAGAGCTCACAATCGTGAAGGACATGGAACAAACAGAATCTACACAAATAACCACAATGTGAGTATGCCTTGATTAAGGGTTTAATTGGAGGTAGAATCAAAGTGCAATGGCAGCTGGCCCTGCTACACGAGGACACAGAGAAGCAGGACACCGTCACCAGGAATGGACATCTGAGCCGAGTGCTAAAGCATGCATGTGGCTTTAACTTCCAATTCTGCTTCACCTGCCCATCTGTTTATTAGGCCCACTCCTCCTCATGCACCATAAACCCTAAGCTTTGGTGGTAGAAGACCAAATATTTCTAAAACTTCAGCCAACAATTCCTAGAATGTGCCATAAAGGAATAGGTAAAGAGTTTTTCATAATGCAATTTTGAACAGCAATTGTAGTTTTGCTCATTAACGCTGAAGCCTGTAAATTTTAGCTAACAAATCAGCATATCTTTGAAGATGAAAACAAACTATGCTAAGAAGATAAAGGTTTGAAAACTAGAGCTATAAAAATCTATGTTTTCATTATATACCTGTTGAGGAATAGATACGTGCTTTTTTAGACTCTAAGTAATTAAACTGCCCAAGTGAAATTGAAAAATGGTGAACCATGACATACCAATCTATTTTAATATGATGTATAGAGTTATTCCTGCCATTTTTTACAATATAGGAGGATATTCAATAAAATTTTGAGCATAGGATTTTTAAAGAAAGTATTTTATAAGATAATAAGCAGTGAAAGTCTAAAAATGTTTAATGCTGAATCCGATAGAGCATAACTATAATCATAAGTTAGCATTTGCAGTATTTTCTACATCTACCACTTTATAGTTCTGATTGAAAAAATCTAGTAAATATTGAAATTTCTTCCTTCAGTGCAGCAGTGGTTCCAAAACTAAATCTCTCTGCTTTGTTTCCATTGAAGTCATCACACTGCTTCCCCAATGACAAACTATATAAAATGTCCTAAGAATGGTAATTTATTTATTCAGTGTTTATAATGTGCCAGGCAATGGGCTATATGATATTTTTTTTAATTTGGGAAGTTCATTAGAAGTTTCTCTCTCCATCACTAAAACTCTATTTCACACCATATATACCAGAAGCTTAGCAAGGCCAAAGAAGTTACCTAAATACTGCTTTGAGAGTTATCTTGGAGAAATAAAAAAATATCTATTTAGAAAAACAAAATGTCACAGAAGTTACATTTGAAATGGCACAACCTGAAACACAAGAAAAATCCCATTTCTGTATGAGCGAAGAACACTCAACAGGCTAAAAACCAGTTATCTTCATTCTGCTCACACCCCATATACAGAACTCCCATGTAATTTGGACAATATTCTGACATATTGCCTTGTTCATGTGTTCCAACAGCAGATGGAATTATGAGGGAACCTCTTACCAGCTCTGTCCAACTTCAGGGGATTGATAATAGGTTTTTAAGGAGAGCTCTTCTGTCTGGTTCTATCACTCAAATTTCATATCTCCAAACCCCAAATCATCAGTATTTAAGATACAATACCAACTACAACTCACTTGGGATAAATGGCCCCAAAGTCTGATTATGTTTGTTACTACCTTTTTTATGAATATAATCATTTTATCTTTTTTAACTCTTTTAAAGAAACATTTCATCATATAAAAAATTAGAAAGGAGAATATAATGCCCCTATGACCCAACGTCAATAATTATCAATCCATGAGTCCTGCTATTTCATCTATAACACCTCTCCTCTTATTAATTATGTAAGATATCCACATGGTTCCAAAGTCAAATCCACAAAAATGTCATCAGAGAAGTCTAGCTTCTATCCCTGTCCCTCTATCTATTCTCCTTCTTCCACAGAAAACTGTTGTTTTTATTTTAGATTATTGCTTAATCCTTTCCTTAAAATATGAGCAAATATATTTATTAATTCCCCCTTTCTGAGCTAAACAATGGGAGGTCCACGGTTTTCAAATATTTTAAAGTATTTGGAGTATAAATGTCAAGACTGTTAGTGGGATTTTAAGTCAAAAGCAAGAGACATGATAATTTGTATTTATTCTTTAAATAACTAATTATTTGAACACTTTACAACTTGTAAGACCCCGGTGTGTGATCAATCAGAGAAGGAAAAGGCAGTAAATTTTGATTAAAAGGCTGAAAATTACAAATAGGCAATAAAGAGTTTGTCTGAAGATTTTAAAATAGATAGTCGTGTTAAAAACGCTCTCATACAATTGGAGTACCTCCCAAAGGCATTCCAATTGTCAACACATTAAGAGCAGGTTTCTTTGAGCAGAGTGGAATTTCATTTACAAACCCTCAAATCAATTGATATCCTTTCTCATAGATCGAATCGCACAGAACATCATTAAGTCCCACTTGGAGACATGTCAATACACCATGGAGGAGCTACACCAGCTGGCGTGGCAGACCCACACCTATGAAGAAATTAAAGCGTATCAAAGCAAGGTACTCTGGAAAACTACAGGAAAGTTTTCCTGTAGTTTCTCTATTTCTGGCTTTCTCAACTTCACAAGTATTGACATTTTGGGCTGGACAATTCTTTGCTGTAGGGACTGTCCTGTGCATTGTAGGATGTCTAGCAGCATCCCTAGTCTCTACCCATAATAGCACCCCTTCACACACAAGTATGACAATCCGAATGTCTTTGAGATTGAGATCCTCAATTATAAGATCTACCAATAAATGAAATTTTAATTAAATGTCTAAATCTGCCTGTTTCTCAATATTTGACTATAACATATATTGGAACAATGAAATCTTATCACTTTTATATAAATAAGAAGACAAAAGTATAGTTATGCTCAATGAAAACTGGAATTAATACAGTCAGATTTATGTTTCCCATTCCAAAGTAAATAACCCAGAGATCAAAATACATTTCTGGGTTTCTGTATTACTTAAGAGAGCAATTTGATTTGATATCTTTTCCCTTAAAATTAATTTTATACAAAAAAAATCTCTGTAAGTTCTGGGAAAAGGACACAAAAAACAATATAACAAATTTAGTATCCATCAGGTATACATGAAAATAAGGCTCTTATAACCTTATAAAAGCCTATGGATGAAATTCATATTCCTCAGTGCAAGAGTTTGTTTTTACAAAATGGACTAAGCGCTTGAGTTTATTTAGGTGAGGTGATGGAGGACAAGGAGGGGGAAAGGATAAGAAACTATAAATAACTATCTTTACATGCTCTTGCAATGTTTCCATGATTCTAGACTCAGTACTTTGATCATTGTGGCATATCAAGGTTCAAAGAGGTCAAAATAATATCTTAGAAAATATTGCCCACCTCTTTTAAGGGAATCCGGTAAATTCCCCCCTTGGTCCCTAAGTGACAGATAAGCACAGCAGGGCAACCCTGAGTATTTCATTGACTCTCCCAGTTGCTCCCAGTTACCCTTTATTCCACGTACATTCTGTCTTTTCTCTCTTGAAGTCCAGGGAAGCACTATGGCAGCAATGTGCCATCCAGATCACTCACGCCATCCAGTACGTGGTAGAGTTTGCAAAGCGGATAACAGGCTTCATGGAACTCTGTCAAAACGATCAGATTCTACTTCTGAAGTCAGGTAAGCAAGGCAGAGATGCATGGGGTGGGGCTAGTTTAGACCAGGATGTGGTCGACCCTGAGCTCAATGTTGGTTCTAGAAAATCCTCCTTCCAACATATACCTCGTTTTTACCACCCACACTGTCAGCCAACTCCCAAAGGAAACTCTCAGCAATAAAAATGCCCTGATACTCACTCAGTTCCCCCTTTGAAGTCAAATACAATTTTGCTTATTGAAAGTAGAGCTATTAATTGCAAAGGTTGAGATACCCAGCTTGACAGGCAGTGCAAGTAATTAGCGTGTCAAGGTGGCTGAATTGCTGAGCTGGCTCTAAAATGTACTACTTGCCTTCTGTTGGGGGGTGGGGGGGAATCCAGGCTAGCTGAGCTCTGCCTCTGTGGTCATTTCCAATCATTTTAATGAGGATAGCCTGCAGCCAGAATACACCGGGAGAATCTCCACTGTGCTCTCATCATTCCCTCCTCCTTCTCTCACATACTCTGACACACACACACACAATGAGGAGGTAGCTTAAGAAACTGCACATGATTGACTTTGCAGATACTATTACGCAAACAGGAAAAAAATTATTTGTCTTTCTTGGCCCTATTTGAAAATAGAAGATAAGAACCACCATGGTGTATATGTTAACATTCATGGTCTAGACCAGTGGTCGGCAAACTCATTAGTCAACAGAGCCAAATATCAACAGTACAACGATTGAAATTTCTTTTGAGAGCCAAATTTTTTAAACTTAAACTATATAGGTAGGTACATTGTTATTAACTTAATTAGGGTACTCCTAAGGCTTAGGAAGAGCCACACTCAAAGGGCCAAAGAGTTGCATGTGGCTCGAGAGCCGCAGTTTGCCGACCACTGGTCTAGACCATAGTAATAATAATGTACTCTTACATCTATAATAACATACATATATATGTTTATGCTTACCTCTGACATCTTATTTAATCTTATGAGGTCGGTATTATTTCCATTTTATAAAAGAGGAAGTGAAGGTTCATAGAAGTGAAGGGCTCAATATGACTCAAGTGTTCAATATCACAAAGCCAATATACAGCAAAGCTGGCATTTGAACTTAGAATTCACATAGAATTCTAAGTTATTTTAAGTTGCTGCTTCTTTACCAAATGGTTCAGGTTGATGTAAATCTTGCCTCAAACATTAACTTGATTACCCTATTGCTGTGTAAAAACAACCCCAAAACTAGTTCAAATGGCAACAATCATTTATTTGGCTCTCCCAAAGCTACAATTTGAGCAAGGCTCAGCAGGGATGGCTTGTCCTGCTCACTGAGGCAACCTGATGGGGGGCAGTGGGGGAATCCATTTTCAAATTGGCTAACTCACATGGCTGGCAATTTGTGCTGGTTGACAGCCCAGAATTCAACCAAGGCTCTGGGCTGGGCGCCTCAGTTCTTATCCACGTGAGCCTTTCCACAGACTGCTTGGACTTTCTCACAGCACGGTTACTAGGTTCCAAAAGCTAGCATTCCAAGAGAACAAGACAGAAGTACCTAGCATTTCTCTGACTTGGCTTCAGAAGGTATTACTGGAGTCAGTCATGAAGGTCCACCTGGGTTCAAGGGTAGGAGACACAGATTCTACTTCTTGATGGGGGAGTGGTAAGGTTCTAGAAAAGCAAGTGGAATGGAAGATATTTTCATGACTTTCTTTGAAAAACAAAATCCACCACAGTTGATAAGTGACCTTGAGGTATCCTCTCTAGATGAAAGCTTCCTTGTTTGTAAAGTAAAGAGATGGACTAGAAAGAATGGATTCTAAAGCTGGAATTGCATCAGAGGAGCTTACTGACTGTTCTGAGTCATGGGCATCATCTGAGGCCCAGGAAATCAGAATCTCCTAGAGGGGAATCCAGTCCATTGTATTTTTTAGTAAGTCTCAGACATAACTGGTCCATGGACAGACATTTGGGAACCATTTGACCGTATAATTTTTATCATCTCTGCCTGCTGGAAAAACGTTGACTTTAATATAAAAGGTAGAGTATTTAACCTCTTTGAGCCTCCTGTAACTTATCCACAGAAAGGAGCTAATAAAACTTACCTGAGCCCTATCTGATTTGGCTCAGTGGATAGAGCTTTGGCCTATGGACCAAAGGGTCCTGGGTTCAATTCCGGTCAAGGGCACAACCAAGGGTTCAATACCTTGGTTGCAGGCTCCTCCCCAGCCCAGGCCCTGGTCAGGGCACGTGCAAGATGTGTTTCTCTCACATCGATGTTGTTCTCTGTCTTTCCCAATATTTCTCTCTGTCTTTTTCACTCTCTTCCACTCTCTCTAAAAGATCATTGGGAAAATATCCTCGGGTGAGAATTAACAACAACAACAAAAATTTTTTAAACTTATCTGACATGGTATTGTAAGGAGCAAATAAAATAATGAATGTAAGGGGCCATGGAAAGTGCCTTCCACATTGTAGATATTCGATAAATGGTACCTATTGTTTTTGTTAGAAAAGCATTGCTTCGATTGACATTTGCAAAACCCCTCTTATGTGCAAGCCCTTATTCCAGGTGACTATGAGGGACAGCAAAGAGAAATCAGCAGAACAAAAGAAACAAAACACAGGCATAAATATAAAGCAGCCGCATAAGAAAGGCACTATGGGTACCCTTGGGTACACCACTGAGAGTGGCCAAATTACCCATGTGATGCCCTCATGCAAATTTGTGGCTTCTGAGTATGGCTATCACCTTCCAACGGTCTACGGGGCAAAATCCCATTTCTCCCAAATGTGGAGAAACTGCAGCAATATAGTTCCTCAGGATGTCAATAAATGTTGGGGGGTAGGGGGGTAAAGGTAGTAAACTAATTCATTCAATAAATATGTATTAAGCAACTATTATGCACCAGAGCCTTTTTAGGTCATGGACATATATGAGTGAATAAAATAACCGCAGCTGCCTATGGCTGCAGACACGGGTCCTGTCCTCGGTGGGCTAGCAGCGAAGTCAGAGAAATGCGGGGTCCCTCAAGGTTGAACAAGGTCCTTCATGTTGGGATGTTTCCAAACATTTGATCTGTGATGGTTCAGACTCATTCCTTCCATAACCCATTTATCTCTGGAGAGAGAACATATTCAGCATTTTGCCAAAACTTATTTGACCAAAGAAACCCTCACTTCAAAGAATATCAGATATAATGGTGCCCCAAGCAACACACTGAGGGAGTCCCTGCTTAAAGTCATCATGTGCTAAAATATACATGGAGTATGCAAAAACGGAAGCAGACAGCTAGTTTTCCCAATATCAAAACTGGTACAAAAGTTAACAGCCTGGGCTTGCCTGCCGCAAAGCTCCTTTCTAGGTCACTTACCATCACTTGTGAATTCAAGAGTTGAAACCAACTTCAATATTAGTCAAAAAATAGAAAGAAATATAGCTTTAGCTCTAACTGGTTTGGCTCAGTGGATAGAGCATCGGCCTGCGGACTGAAGGGTCCCAGGTTTGATTCTGGTCAAGGGCATGTACCTTGGTTGTGGGCACATCCCCAGTAGGGGGTGTGCAGGAGGCAACTGATGGATGTTTCTCTCTCACTGATGTTTCTAACTCTATCCCTCTCCCTTCCTCTCTGTAAAAAAATCAATAAAATATATTCTTTAAAAAAAAAAGAAATATAGCTTTAAAAAATGTTGTTTCTTCCCTCCATTTCAGCCACCTTTTAAGTGTATTTTATCTTTAATTCCTCACATAGTGTCAAGAGAGCTATATTTCAAAAATAGGTATTTTTTACTTGGGAAGGAATCTTGAAGGATTTCTGTATATGTGTCTATATGTCTTGCATGTTTTAAAGTTTTTGAAAGTCTCTTGACCTATATGAAGTAACAACCTCTTTATGACTATATATATTATACATAGTTGTTGTTTTTTCTCATAGGTTGCTTAGAAGTGGTTTTAGTGAGAATGTGCCGTGCCTTCAACCCATTAAACAACACTGTTCTGTTTGAAGGAAAATATGGAGGAATGCAAATGTTCAAAGCCTTAGGTAAGTTTACCTTTGATGATGACATAATTTTATTAGCTACCAACCATTTCTCTACTAAGCTTGCAGTTGGTAAATAAAATACCTTCTTTAATGTGAACTAGTATCCCACTTTCTTTTTAAAAAAAATATTTTTATTGATTTCAGAGAGGAAGGGAGAGGGAGAGGGAGATAGAAACATCAATGATGAGAGTCAATCATTGATCAGCTGCCTGCCCCACACTGGGGATCAAGCCCACAACTAGGAAATATGGCCTGACCCGGAGTCAAACTGAGACCTCCAGGTTCATAGGTCAATGCTCAACCACTGAGCCACGGCGGCCGGCCATAGTATCCCACTTCCAATAAGGGTTGGACTAGGTGAGCCCCCAGTGTTTTATCTAACTCTTAAGATCTTATAACTATGCATCCAAATATGAATGGAAGGAGAAAACTGTGGACCTATTGGGACTGACCAGGACTCATTCAGAAATCAATGAAGACTGTTTCTAAAAGATCTGGGCTGCATTATAGGTCATTCTTTATAGAATCAGCTTTTCTATACCTTCTAGCTTACTGCTTCACAAAGTATATTATGTAGACCCCTGGTGATCCATGAGTGACCTCTTATATTTTAATGTAGAGTCATAATCATTAGTTAAGATACTTAAGAGAGGAGCTCCTTCATTTGTTTCTCATTCTGAGAAGTAACACTCGTCCTGTTAATTTATGAAGTCTGGGACCACAGGTAGAGTGGGTGTCAACCTGCCCAAAATGACCCCCCAGTCCAGGCTCAGGGAGGGCTCAGAGTCAGCCTCTGGAAGTCTGTGTATCATTCACATCTAGTCATGGGTGCACGGCATGGATAAGAAGAACATTAGCAAAGATGGGCTAATGCCAGGAAAAGTTTTAACGATTGACCGTACCATTTGTTCCACATCCTGCCCACGGACATCCAAGAAGGCCGCTGCCCTTTGACCTGTTGTGCTGTTAGGTGATACGGTAGGCAGCAGCACCATCAGGGCTGGCAGTGTTTCCTTCTGCAGCTGATACATGTCCATATCATCTCCAAGGCTAGATTTTCAAGAAAGGAGGAAAAGCCTTGGCAAGCGACTTGGGGATATTTCCAGCTTCATAAAATAAACATTTACCCAGGGTCAGTGTAGGGGTGAAGCATTATTTTGCCAAAATTCACAGTGGCTAACCAACTGACCTGCAAATCATTCATTAGACGATAAAAATAAATGAATGCTTATTCCTCAAATTTCCAGGGAAGTTACCAAATTGAAAGATAACTCATCTCTGTTCTATTGATTTTTAACATCTCAGTTCAAGGCCCCTGCTCACCGTACATTACCAGGTTCAAGTGCCACCATGACTGATAGCCCTCAGCCCCTTATACATAATGTTTTAGGTTTTCTATGAATGCTGTAGCTATACTAAAGGAGCCCCAAATCACTTATTTAAATTGTTTTAGTTGAAACTAATTTCAAGCTTATACAATTAGGCTCATGCCATGTATTCCCACTTGGATATTACAATGGCCACACACCATTTCCATCTGCCCCTCACTGGTAATATTAACTTTCATTACCTGGTCAAGATGTTGCCTGGATTCCTCATCTATAATGACTACTAAATCACTTTTTATGGATAGCAACTTGGAAATTTTTTTCCACGTGCCTACTAGGTAAAATCTTGAATAACTTTTCTTACTATTGCCCATTCCAATCAAGTATTTTCATTGACTTGCCTTCTTTTATAGGTTCTGATGACCTAGTGAATGAAGCATTTGACTTTGCAAAGAATCTGTGCTCCTTGCAGCTGACTGAGGAGGAGATTGCTTTGTTCTCATCTGCTGTTCTGATATCTCCAGGTAGGGAAGGCTGAGGTCTTTACCTTTTCTTTTTAACTTGCTTTATTATCTTTCACATGGATGACACCTACCTCAGCCAAGGTGCTCAAGAGAAACTTTAAAAGAACCATATGTTCTTTAGCAAGCTTGTGATATTTTTGGACAATCCAAAGGAAAGTAGTTTGAAGTTAAATCAAATGACCGGTTTTGTCTCAAAAATAAGAGTAGAGCATGTGGTAAGGGTCATTCCAGATTCAGAAGAGCCAAATTATTCTTTAACAGGCAAATAAAAACTGATAGTGACTTGTTATAACTAAGTTCCATTTTGATTTTTAAAATAAAGGAGATAGTTGAAAAATTGTCCAGTAAGATGAAACTCAAAAGAAATATACCTGAATGAAAGATCCAGCGTTAAGTACAGCATACACTTTCTCCTCTTTAAATACCTTTTCCTCTGGCTTATCCACCCATGGTAAGTGGGTGTGCTCATTGCAAGCAAATGCTGGATCCTTTTCTTTTTTTTTCTTCGCCACATTAGAGAATTTAAAAGAAGGTAAGGACAGCAGAGGAAAAATGGCTCCTATTTAGACCAGAAAAGGAAGAATCTCTGATGTGGCAGAGACATTCTAGCACAGGCTCTGCCACCATTTACCTGTGTGACCTTGTACACTTGCCCTCTCAGAGTCTCAGTTTCCTCATCTATAAAGTAAGAGGGTTGGGCTTCATAATAAAGACCTCATCTAACTCTAAAATGCAGTAACATGGCAACAAGTTTTCAAAGAAGGTAAGATGTGACATTTATAGATCACATAGAACTGTAGCAGTTGAGATTCTTTTTAAAAATATATGCCAGCCAGAAAAAGTATAGAATCCTAATCCATACCTGGCTTCTTCTTCAATAGGAATGAGAATTCAGAGTCACTCACTCAGCTGCCAGTACAGTTAGATTTGGATAGCAGTGTCATTGATAGTTCTCTATTGAAAGAAAGACACATTCCTGCTAAGTTTTACTGTCAAGAGACTCATTCCTTCAATAACCCATTTATTTCTAGAGATTAGATTTTTTTTTCTTATACCCTAATGTATTTTCTCAGAGAGGCAGGAAAAAATCAGTCTTGCCTATGAAGGTACACTTTGACATGTCATTCTAGCTATACCTACCAATAATACCAGCCTCTACACTTTTTATCCATTAAGGCTTATTTATTTCTTTTTTAAATGGAAAAAGTGACAAATATTTACTTCTGGTAGCAAACAAATGCCAAATAGTTTTCCTCCTACCATTTACTCACTGCATTTGATTATGCCCATAGAGTGTAGTGCGATGGAATATTAATTCTAAGCCCGTGGGTCTATGATGAGGGAGGTGGTTTTACCTCGGATGCCTGCTTGCTGGAAGGAAGTGTTACAGAACTCACTGTCCTCTTCAGGTATTTTTGTGGCAAGTCAGTCAATTCCTAACAGCAAATACTTAAGACATGATTTATCAATCCTTAAAGATAACTCTTCCACAGGAAGGCAAGCCTGTACCTTATGAGTTAGGAGTCAGCTGAACCATGGGCCGTTCTCTAGAATGGCCATCAAATTCTGCTGAGCTTGGAAGCACTATATTTGGCTTATTCTACCTCATGGGGAATCTTCCAATTCCAACTTTGGTAACAGACCCACACTCAGAGGCTTTAGCTACTCCAAATACCTGGCTTGCCACTCTGGCCTAGTGCCATAATAAAAGAGAAGATAGATTTCCAGACTACGAAGGCTCCATCTCATGCCAGACACCCCTCCCCACTCCCAAGGTTCTTGCCATAATAACCACTGTCTATTCAGCTCCAGAGAGTTTAGAGAGGGGAAAGGGAGAGAGACTTAATTTATTCTGATTGACAATTGTCAACTGAAGGCTTTTGTGCTCACTTACGTAAGGGTTTGCTTCACTGTTGGCTAGACTTGTTCTTGCCCTGTCTAGGATTACAGAATTGAGTTTCTCACCTGACCTGAACTGTGTTCAGAAGGATCATGTCCAGGTTCTTTTCCATGAGTATTTTTCAGCATTTGGAGACTCCAGGAGTCTCTCCATTGAAGTTCCAACCTAAGGCATTGATGCTGGGCTGAATTTTGTCACCATGGTGTCTAGAGCTTCTAGGAAGAAAGGAAGGAAGGAGGGAGAGAGGGAGGGAAGAATGGAATGAAAAGAGGGAGGAAGGAGTAAAAAGGAAAGAAAGGAGGAAGAGAGGGCTTATCCTATTCACCTTTTAAAAATTCATTATAGAAAAAGAGGACTCAGGATTAAATTTTTAAAATTGATTTTATGCTTATGTGAGGATTAAATGAGACAATACAAATCGCCTTTCCCTTTTATAAGCGATGTTATCATTCTGTTACACTTCCAGCAAATAGGCATCCGAGGTAAAACCACCTCCCTCATCATAGACCCACGGGCTTAGAATTAATATTCCATCGCACTACACTCTATGGGCATAATCAAATGCAGTGAGTAAATGGTAGGAGGAAAACTATTTGGCATTTGTTTGCTACCAGAAGTAAATATTTGTCACTTTTTCCATTTAAAAAAGAAATAAATAAGCCTTAATGGATAAAAAGTGTAGAGGCTGGTATTATTGGTAGGTATAGCTAGAATGACATGTCAAAGTGTACCTTCATAGGCAAGACTGGAGTTTACTTAACCATTGGGTCCTTAGTGCATTCTGGTTTCCTATGTCAATCTATTGTGCATTCCTGTCATCATGGAATTGCTTATAAAACATTTATGTTCACTATAAAAAATTACATGACTTCAGAAGCAATTTAGAACAAATTTGAAATGGGTTCTGAAACTCAGCACTTGTATATGCAGGTGAAATAAAGCAAAGCTTACGTTCCCACCCTTTCTTACCCATTCTTTTCTGCTGTCAGACCGAGCCTGGCTGATAGAACCAAGGAAGGTCCAGAAGCTTCAGGAAAAGATTTATTTTGCACTTCAACATGTGATTCAGAAGAACCACCTGGATGATGAGACCTTGGCAAAGGTAGGTCCGCAGACCACAGGCCCCTTGTCACTGAAAGAGGGTGCAATGAGCTAAAGGGCGCTGGTGTGTAAAGCAAGAGACAGTTCTTGGCAACAGTGATTTCTGAATGTTACCAAAGGTGCATACATTTTGAGTTCACGTTTAAAAGGGAGGCTAGTGAATGATAATAGATGGAGAGGAGAATGACGCCCCTTAGGAAAGGGCGATACTGATGGACCTGAAACCCCGGTACAGGGAAACAAATGAAAGAAAGTGAGGCATGTCATCTGAGAAACAAAAGTTCGAAGCAAGGAATCAAGTCTTCAGAACGCATATGTGGTACAAGAGGAGACTTTGTGCCACACAGGAGTCAGGTCCGGGCAAAAGTTAAGAGGAGGTAGATTTTTACTCAAAACATGGAATAAATATAAAACGATGAGGGTTGCTGAAAGGAAGGGTCAACCACTGTGTGAAGTAGTGAGCTCCCTGTCATTGGCCATATTCTAATAGATACTGCTTGGTTTCCTCTCGGATATATTGCAAATGACAGTACTACCCAGAATAGAAGATTAGGCTGATTCCTTGTAAAATTCCCTTCAACTCTAATCTCTTCACTCAAAATTTGCCCTGGGGGGTCTTTCAAAATGACAAGTGTCTCATGGGCAAAAGCAGGCAACACACCAGCAATTTCTTGATTCTGCTTAGGAATAGTGATGTTTAAGAAGAGAACTGAGACGAGTTGTTTACCAACGTAAAATGATCATAAAAAGGAGGAATTTTCTAATAATTGATATTTAGCACTATTTTAGATTTTAAAGTATCTCTAATTTCTTAAGAATTTTTGAGGGCCAGAATTATTTTAGATTTCTAAGTACCTTTGCTCTCTTAAAAACTGGATTTTTGGTGGGATGAGGGAAGGTGGAGGAGGGATGAATGGTGAGTCAGAGACTTGACTTTGGGGTGGTGAACACACAATATGGAGTACGGATGATATGTTAAAAAAAAAACTGGAATTTTTTTACAGGGTAAGCAACTAGGAAATGGAGCTTATTCGTGGTAAAGATGTTAGAAATCCCACTCTTTGTCTTGTTGTTGTTATTTATTAAAACGCTGTCATTCTGCTCTTGAAATTCTTTATTTTAAAAAGGAGGAAAGACTCTATCGGGGATACTATCAGAATTTACTTTGCACATAAAGAGCATAGTTATAAAAAATACTTAATGAGTTAAATATAATGAGGGTTGCTGAAAGGAAGGGTCAACCACTGTGTGAAGTAGTGAGCTCCCTGTCATTGGCCATATTCTAATAGATACTGCTTGGTTTCCTCTCGGATATATTGCAAATGACAGTACTACCCAGAATAGAAGATTAGGCTGATTCCTTGTAAAATTCCCTTCAACTCTAATCTCTTCACTCAAAATTTGCCCTGGGGGGTCTTTCAAAATGACAAGTGTCTCATGGGCAAAAGCAGGCAACACACCAGCAATTTCTTGATTCTGCTTAGGAATAGTGATGTTTAAGAAGAGAACTGAGACGAGTTGTTTACCAACGTAAAATGATCATAAAAAGGAGGAATTTTCTAATAATTGATATTTAGCACTATTTTAGATTTTAAAGTATCTCTAATTTCTTAAGAATTTTTGAGGGCCAGAATTATTTTAGATTTCTAAGTACCTTTGCTCTCTTAAAAACTGGATTTTTGGTGGGATGAGGGAAGGTGGAGGAGGGATGAATGGTGAGTCAGAGACTTGACTTTGGGGTGGTGAACACACAATATGGAGTACGGATGATATGTTAAAAAAAACTGGAATTTTTTTACAGGGTAAGCAACTAGGAAATGGAGCCTATTCGTGGTAAAGATGTTAGAAATCCCACTCTTTGTCTTGTTGTTGTTATTTATTAAAACGCTGTCATTCTGCTCTTGAAATTCTTTATTTTAAAAAGGAGGAAAGACTCTATCGGGGATACTATCAGAATTTACTTTGCACATAAAGAGCATAGTTATAAAAAATACTTAATGAGTTAAATATACTGCTTCATCATGGTAACATTGTGTTAAAATTAACACGACCTAGGAAGAACATTTTCACAATGTGGAGGGCTAGTTCTCTTTGGTATAACTTTGCACTTAGTGGGAAAAGACAAATCACCTTCACTCTGCACCTGTTTTCCCCCAGTTAAGAGCCAAACTACATGCTTTCAGATAACCAGACAGAAAAGATGGTAATGTGAATACCTGCATCTGTCTCTTAGAATGCATATATAATTAGCAAAATGAATAAATACATCTAGTTAATTAACTGGGGGTCCTGCATTTGGGATCTCCCAAAGACTTTGGTCCCCATATTTACCAAACTAAAATAAAGGTTGATAAAAATCCAGAGTTAGACAAAAGTTGTTGCTATTCTGCTCAGGGGGACTGTCTGCTTTTCAGAAAACTCTAGTTTCATCATGTCTACAATGAAAATTATAATTCCTGGCTCCTGTATAGATGTGCTTTAGGTTCAAATGAAATATTTGCACTACATGGATTCTAACACACTGTGACACTGTAATTATTACTATCCTAGGAGAGTAAAACTCTCATGCTTACACCATCTTTTACCTTCTGGTGTCCTGGTGCTGGCGATCTGAGGCATTAAGATAGAAAGGAGACAGGGAAAATGAAGAATGAAAGATATTTAGTGGCAAGAAAAAAAATTAGAACACAGACAGTAGGTCACTTTAATTCTCCTTTCTCTATCTTCGATGGGAAAAGTACACAAGTCAATTCTTTTTAAAGTTTTTTAGATATAATTGGCATGTAAATATTATATAGTTGGGGATGCATAATACTAGTATAATGATTTAACACTTGTTTATAATATATTGCAAAATGATCACCACAATAAGTCTAGTTAACAACCACTCAGTTCTTTTCTTACAGTAACAATGTTGCAAAGCTGGGGACCAGAGGAAGTATTAGAAGAGGGTAATTTCTTGTATAAAATTCCCTGGAACCAGATGACAAAGCATTGCTTCCACGGGTCTTGTGTGGATGTTGGGTTTTTGTGGGGACCCTTCCTTGTAACTGTCATCATTTTAATAGGGTGTAATTTGAACAAATGTGGAGGGGTCATGAAAGAGAATGAGAACTGGACTCTCATTTATCCCAGCTCTGAACTGTGTGGCTTTGGATAAGTCACTTCATTTATCAAAGACAGATTCATCAGCTGTCGGATGCCGGGGGAGGGATGGCAACATCTCTCAAGGTCCTGAGCTTGAATGCTTTAAGGACAATGGCACCATTAACATCTAGGGACACCCTCTCATCAAACCCACACTCTCCAGAAGGGATAAATGTTTTGTTTAAATCCGAGAAAACAATTCTATCCTACCACAGAGTCTTCTCATCCTTTCAGAAATGTCCCACAATACCTCTGAAACAGAGACGACCATTCTTATGAATGCTATTAATAGACTCCTTGGGGAATCTGGCAAACATTATGAAACCTATCTCTAGAAAAATGCACACATACTCAACCATTGTATGCAAGTCCGGGGCTCTGGTTAAATCCCCAGTAGGTGGGGCAGGTCTGCCTCCTGTGTACTGTGCACCGACTATTTCACCCTGAACAGGTGTAGCAGATGTCAGGTAAGAGGTGCACCCACAGTCAGTGGACTTTGTCCTGAAAGAACAGTCTCCAGCACACTTTCTACATGCCCACCTCTTGAAATTAAATTCAAGTAACAGTGTCTTATACTTTTAACCAAATTTGGACCAAGAGAAGGTTTGAAAATTCAGGAATTCTGTGCCCATTAGCTAAATGGTTTTAATCTCTATATATTAATCAGTTTTCATTTGTTTGTTTCTTTGTCTAAAAAATACCCTATTAAAAATCTAGTTGTCTTTGCTCATCAGCATAATGATAATACATAGTATATTTATAAGAAACCATCAAAAACACTTCCTCGCTGAGTGACCCTGGACAAGTGACTTAACCTCCCCGTGCCTCGGTTTCCTCATTTGTAAAATGTGACTACAGATAGTATCAATCTCATTTGGTTATTTTAAGGACTAAATGAGATCAAATGTAAGCAAGCTGCATGGTTCATAATAGGTAGTTTATAAGTGTTGTTATAGTTGTGGACAAAAGAAATTTTATTTGGCAGAGAATTTTTTACCCAGGAGATGGTATATTTGAGCTAATCACCAATGAATGAAAACTATTTCAAAAGATAGAAGTTGGGGGAGGAGGTGAAGAGGTGGAGTATGGCATTCCAAGAGATGGGGGACATGATGTGGAGGTAAGAAAATATGAGGTATATTTGAGCTATAAATAATAGTTAGATTTGGCTGGATCTGGAGTTGAGAAGCCAGGAATGAGATGACACTGATCACTTTCACTGAAGCTCATGGGGAAAAAAAGACACGTGTGTATTTATAATATACATATATATTTTTTAAGCCCCATCTGACTAGGGGAGGCAGCCCATCTGTTCTCTGGGCTATACTTTTCTTGTCTGGGAAATGAGTAGGTTGCACTGGGTGGTCATTCAATCCCTTCGGCATAATATTCTTTGACTCAAAAAGAGGAAAACAAAGGTTTCTCCTTAAGATCTTCTTTTGCCCTCCCATGCTCAGTTCAGTGTGATAGTTTTAAGGACACTTCAAATGTTCTGCCAGCACAATAAGTGAAAAAGAGACACTTTTCACCAAGCCTTGTAGATGCAAATCAGGACTCTGTGCACTGTGGTGATTTAGTCAAGGATGAGATTCTGGCCCAAAGCTGCAAAGCATCGATGTTGATAAAGCCTGTGTCCAGAAGTCAACGTCCCTGTCAGGCTTTCCAGTGGCTCTGTCACCTTGAGCTGTAGGTGCTGCAGTGACTCACTTGGAGATGTTGACATCCGGGGTAAGGCCCGCTATGGGGCTTAGGAACTTGTGCTGCCCTTTCTCCACTCAGTTGAGAAGAGCATGACCACTGCTGTGGGAGGGGACAGGTGGCAGATAAAGCAGTGAATGTTTGAACTGCAAAGAC